CACAGTATAACCAGTATGCCCACTCGCTCTTTTGTTTCACGTTCGCGCCGATCCGTACTGCGCATCCGACATGTTTTTATTATAACCAATCACAGGATTTTGTACGTGTTTAGTGCAAAGTCGGTGTGACATAGAAAAATTCGCAGTGTTGACGAATAACGCGTAAATACTTTTATACGTTGGAGCAAGTAATTACATTAATTACTTTTATTAGAACATTTTCTTTCATAGGCCATTTCTATTTACAATAAATAATGCACGCCAGTTCGTATGCGCCTTTCCTGGATACGATCCTGAAAAGGGCCCAGGCACTTTTAGCCGTTGATACACTGTTGGATATAATAAAAACATGGAGGAAAATTGAGAACGCCCAGATCAAAGGTGCCGACAGAGAGTGGGCATACTGGTTATACTGTGTTTATAAAACGTACGTACTTTCATTCAACAGAGCGTAAGTGTAATTAATTGTTGCAATTATTATTTGGGTGCATAAAATTACTTATTGTAGATAATACGCATCTGGAAAAGTTGCAAGTTCAAAATTGTATCCTGTAAGGTTGCCAGTTTTGATCTTGTGTCACCTGTCTCGTGCAAGAACTGGACGTTTACATTGTCAAATCAAACAGTCGTAAGAAACTCTTACTATTTTTTGTAGAGGGTATATCTACTGATGAGCATGCGAAAAAATTAATAAAATGGAAGGAAGAGCGTGACAGGAAGAGGAGGCAGGAAGCCGCAGTGAAGAAACCGGCTTTCAAAGTCGGCATCGTTCATCACTCGTTATGTTCGTCGATAATCAAGACGGACATGTCAGCTACCAAAACAACGAAGAAGCCGGAACCCTCAAATCAAGTGCAAAGACGAATTACGAGAGCCACGGAGAAGCGACTGCTCGCTAAAGCTGCAAAACAAGCGGGAAAGGATCTTACCTCGGCGTCAATGAAGCAGTCTGCGAGTGTCAAAACGGCGTCTTCTAAAAACAACACAAAGAAATCATTGCTCCAGTTAATTACATTTTCAAACCTCCGTCTGCGTTGCAAACGCTACCATCTTTATTTGATCTTGTACCACTAGAGCAAACGCCACCAGAGAAATACAACACAAGAGAAATATCACAGAGCTGCACACAAACGTCTGATGGTGCCACAGGGAATGTCCAACCTTCCACGAGTTCGAAGCTATCACCAATTGAGCAAAATTGGTCACCGCAGAAATTGCGTTGTTCAACTGATTTGAATATAACTAATACATTGAGATCGTCATTGAAGGAACAGACCGAGAACCAGGCAGACGTACGAAACTCTGACAGTCAGTACTGGCAATGAATATCGGAACGCAGTCTCAATCTAACCTAACCTGACTTTAGAATTGTCAGCGGCATTCGAAATCCAGCCGTGGCTCGTAATTCGTCTTTGCACTTGATTTGAGAGTTCCGGCTTCTTCGTTGTTTGGTAGCTGACATGTCGCTCTTGATGCGAGGTACTGTTTAACAGTTCGAGAAACCAGAGCACCACGCGTAAATTCGCGTGTTAAAAACGTTCGCATTTCTACATAGATAAACAAAAATTCCTAGAAGAGGAGATTCGTGTTGTCGCACAGCGAACGATGGAGATTGAGTGTGAAGAAGCCGTTCAATCGCGTTCATCGGCAACAACACCGCATGAGACCTCAAATGGCAATGACGAAATGACCAAGGACAATGCAGAGAGCGAAGCTGATCAGGCGCAACCGACTTTATGCGTATCGACCAAGGACTTTCGCAATCCGACAAGCACGGAAACTTTGTCGGAATTCAGCGAATCTTCAGGCAAAACTGACCTTTCCGCCTCTTCACAGTCAGGCGTAAGTTTGAGACAGACATTGACATACAATCACGTGCAAGTACACGTTATAAATTGATAAGATCCTTAGCAAGGTGACTCTTGTATTCTTAATACAATGTTTTATATTTTAAGTCTTTGTCCTTCAAGTAACGCACAATAATTGCCTTGTGTCTCAAGTTTCAAGGCCTGTGTCCACGATGCTAGAACTTTGTTCTAGTTCTAGTTCTAAGAAATGTCTAGTTAATCAACTTGCAACTTTTATGGAATAGCTGTAAGTTGATTGGCTACACATTTCTCTAAACTACAACTTGGACCAAGTTCTAGCATCGTGGGCACAGGCCTTTAGATTTGCATACAAAGATACGTGTGAAAAGAATAAACGTATGTAAACAAAGATACTGTCATGAAAAATTTGAACATATGCGTGGAAGACGAAGAACGCACCGCTCAATATTTCAAACTTCTCTTGAACAAAGAAGTAGACAGACTTCAAGAGCTTTGTAAGAAATGGTTGGACATTAAGGTGATGCTGGAGTGATTCTGCACTTTTGGCACTTTTCGCTCCTAGAACTGTCAATTCGTGACAACGTTTGTGTAATATACAAATTATGCGGCTTTTTTGTACGAACCGACAGTGTTCCACTAATCGGACTAAATCAGAGAACAGCATGGTATCATTAAAATTAAGTTTAGAAGCCTAACAAAAAATCTATTCGCTTGATCAAGTTATAGGTTACCTAACCTATAATTTTGAGTGAATAGATTTTTTGTTAGGCTTCTAAACTTAATTTCAATGATACCATGCTGTTCTCTGATTTAGTCCGATTAGTGGAACATTGTCGGTTCGTACACAAAACCCGTATAATTTGTATATTACACAAATGTTGTCACAAATTGACAGTTCTAGGAACAAAAAGATGCAAAAGTGCAGAATGACTCCAGTATCCCCTTAAGTCGCAGAAGAATGTTAGGACGCTACGTACGAAATACAACAAGCAGTAGGGCAGACAAATTTGCTGATAAATAAGAAATTCGAAAGATTTCGTTGCTTGGTGCAGGATTGCGAAACTGGTAGAGGAGAGATGCTGGTAACATGTAGAGATTTGCAAGGATTTTGGGACATGGCATACTTGGTGGTCGAAAACTGTGACTCGCAAGTTCTAGCAATGCATTTTATATACAAAATAATCATTACAAGTATTTATCAAAATTTGTATTTTAAGTCACTGTAAGATTACTAGATTTTAGCCAAATAATTTTTAGCATCTTTTTATATATTTAAGACGCGGATAGGTGATGGCCTATTGCACGACAAGCTAATGCTCGATTTGATCATCGTAATTCCTTTAAAGAGCAACGCTTCTATAGGTTGGAGAGAAAGGATTTCATAGAAGAATATTCTTGGTGCATTATTATTTTGCTCCAAATCTTTTACGGAAAAGCTGTAAGTTCATTGGCTACATATTTCTCGGAACTAGAACTCGGACACAGTTCTTGGATCGTGGACACAAGGCTCAAGAGATGGCAATATAAAACCAGCGATTTTTTGTTTGATTTGAACTTGTAAGATCTTAGGTCCATGAGAGCACTGCACATCTTTCTGCTCCACGGCCACCCAAAGTTGAAATATAGGTATGTACAGATATTTACAGACCAGTATGGATGCCCGGAATAGATTATCATTTACTTATACTTTTCCGCTCACAATCTTTGTTCCAATCAATCTTGTTAAATCGAGGCGTACATAAGGTGAGATCCGGCAATTGCGACTCGATCGCTCCCACACAATGTCTTATAATATATATAGTCTTTTCATTCTGTTTAACGCGCAAACTATCCGTATGTAAATCAAAAGTTACCTAAAGCTATATTATCAAGAAGCCCACCATAATCTCACGCTATTATCTCGATGTTCATTTTCAGTGCCACAATACCTTTGTCCAGAACTGGTTGCTATAGGTAGACTTGTGTGCAAGCTTATTCCATTTATACAATCTTTCGACAGTCTTATTTTATATTTCGGGTTCAAATCCTCTTCATTTGTAGTTTCTGGTAATTCCCACACAATGATATTTCCATCAACACCACCTATGGAGTATGTAACATTAGTCAAGTGTATTATCATATTCTTATTACTTATCATTGTGCCGAGCGTAGCGCAGAGAAATGTGCGTTGATTAGTAAACAAATGAACAAAAAAAATCCGAGTTTAAATCCAGCCACGGACACCGCTGGTCATTTTTCAATGATAACCGAGGGTGCAGCAGGCTAATCGCCTGCCCGTCTGAATTTCTAACCGATTCCTGAAATACTCGCGAGGAAAAATCAAACGTAACGCTAGCAATCGGATCAGATAGAAACACCTTGCAGAGTCTCTATGTTCCGCAGCGGGAATGATGGGCCTTATTATTATTATTGTACGTTTATTGAACTGACCAGAGATTATTTGTTTGCTGTCAAACGTAAAAGCAAACTGTATTCTTTGATTGGTATACGATTGCCTTCCTTCGAGGGAGTAAAGCACATTTCCAGGTTTGCGGAGGTCCCAACATAGAAATTCACTATTTTTCCGGACAGCCGAGAACAGCTTCATTCCGCAAGGGCTAAATTCTATTTGTGTTACACCGCTCCCGGTCTTGAAGGTGCACAATGGTCCGTCTTTGTACAGACCTTCGAACATAAAGAAAATATATACACTGTCATATATACACTGAGAATGGTCTAAAGAAAGACGGAAACGTTTGTAATTTTTATGTTTTAAATGAACTAAACTTTTACTGTTGTGACACTAACACCTAGTCAAGGCTTTTAGCCCTTTTATTCATTGATTACTATAAACATAATCAAAACGTGCAGTTTATTGCAACCTATGGTAACAAATATTACCACAGACAGATACGTACCGATACTTGGAATACGTGCCGAAGGCAACCAGGCCTGACATGATTGGATTTTCACGGATACACGAGACCAATCCCATCATATTCGGAAAGTCATGTTTAAACTGAATGTCATACGTTTGACGTCCGGGACGGTCCGTGTCGAAGGTTCTCACGGCGTTCTTGAAACCGCACCATATCTCCCTTCCCGACTGCACAAATTGAACGCTGATAGACGCTTCTACCTCGTCAACTCTGAAAAGATACGCGCTTTTACAAAGTCGCACAGTAATAGCAAAAGTGACGCAGCTACTAACCGATTGTAGGCTCGATACATAGCGCGCAGCTCTCCCGTGAACGCATCCCACATATGAACAGGACTCTCTCTGCTGGTACTGAGGAAGCAGCACGTCGCGGGGTCCCATGAATTCATGAAGGGATACCAGCAGGTATCGTACACCAGGCCACCTTCTTTAATCATCAAAGTGAACGTAAAGTCGTTCTGTACGAAATCAGATGGGACCTGGCCGGAGTAAAGCTCTCTGGGAAGCTCGTAGATACGTATCCCGTAGTCTTCCGACGGTACAAGCAAGCACGTCCCATCCGGGGACTATTGGCCACCTTTTGTAAAATTCTCGCGCGTGTTCGCGGACTGGTATTCCTTGGTAGCCACGCGTAACAATCTCAGCGCTGCGGACCAGTTGTACTTGTAGACGCAGGTAGAATCTGCTGAGCCGGCGTCCCTCGTCTGCTCCGATATCGCAAGACTTACCAGTCGTTCCAGTAATGTATCGGATAGTACCTACAATTTGAACACCGATTATATTATCATGTGCTCAAGCGGAACATAGACGATTTGTTGCAAGAAATTTTAGAGCAGAATGGCTGAATTGTAAAATATTCATCTATTAATATACTGTACAATTATTACCTTCTCGTATGTTTACATACGTTTATTCTTTTCACACGTATCTTTGTATGCAAATCTAAAGGCCTGTGCCCACGATGCTAGAACTTGGTCCAAGTTGTAGTTTAGAGAAATGTGTAGCCAATCAACTTGCAGCTATTCCATAAAAATTGCAAATTGATTAACTACACATTTCTTAGAACTAGAACCAAGTTCTAGCATCGTGGACACAGGCCTTGAAACTTGAGACACAAGGCAATTATTGTGCCTTACTTGAAAGACAAAGACTTAAAATATAAAACATTGTATTAAGAATACAAGAGTCACCTTGCTAAGGATCTTATCAATTTATAACGTGTACTTGCACATGATTGTATGTCAATGTCTGTCTCAAACTTACGCCTGACTGTGAAGAGGCGAAAAGGTCAGTTTTGCCCGAAGATTCGCTGAATTCCGACAAAGTTTCCGTGCTCGTCTGATTGCGAAAGTCCTTGGTCGATACGCATAAAGTCGGTTGCGCCTGATCAGCTTCGCTCTCTGCATCGTCCTTGGTCATTTCGTCATTGCCATTTGAGGTCTCACGCGGTGTTGTTGCCGACGAATGCGATTGAACGGCTTCTTCACACTCAATCTCCATCGTTCGCTGTGCGACAACACGAATCTCCTCTTCTAGGAATTTTTGTTTATCTATGTAGAAATGCGAACGTTTTTAACACGCGAATTTACGCGTTGTGCTCTGGTTTCTCGAACTGTTAAACAGTACCTCGCACGGCAGGATTTCGAATGCCGCTGACAATTCTAAAGTCAGGTTAGATTGAGGCTGCATTCCGATATTCACTGCCAGTACTGACTGTTAGTACGAGTCTCGTACGTCTGTCTGGTTCTCGGTCTGTTCCTTCAATGACGATCTCAATGTATTAGTTATATTCAAATCAGTTGAACAACGCAATTTCTGCGGTGACCAATTTTGCTCAATTGGTGATAGCTTCGAACTCGTGGAAGGTTGGACATTCCCTGTGGCACCATCAGACGTTTGTGTGCAGCTCTGTGATATTTCTCTTGTGTTGTATTTCTCTGGTGGCGTTTGCTCTAGTGGTACAAGATCAAATAAAGGTGGTAGCGTTTGCAACGCAGACGGAGGTTTGAAAATGTAATTAACTGGAGCAATGATTTCTTTGTGTTGTTTTTAGAAGACGCCGTTTTGACACTCGCAGACTGCTTCATTGACGCCGAGGTAAGATCCTTTCCCGCTTGTTTTGCAGCTTTAGCGAGCAGTCGCTTCTCCGTGGCTCTCGTAATTCGTCTTTGCACTTGATTTGAGGGTTCCGGCTTCTTCGTTGTTTTGGTAGCTGACATGTCGCTCTTGATCATCGGCGAACATAACGAGTGATGAACGATGCCGACTTTGAAAGCCGGTTTATTCACTGCGGCTTCCTGCCTTCTCTTCCTGTCACGCTCTTCCTTCCATTTTATTAATTTTTTCGCATGCTCATCAGTAGATATACCCTCTACAAAAAAATAGTAAGAGTTTCTTACGACTGTTCGATTTGACAATGTAAACGTACAGTTCTTGCACGAGACAGGTGACACAAGATCAAAACTGGCAACCTTACAGGATACAATTTTGAACTTGCAACTTTTCCAGATGCGTATTATCTACAATAAATAACTTTATGCACCTAAATAATAAATGCAACAATTAATTACACTTACGCTCTGTTGAATGAAAGTACGTTTTATAAACATGTAAGAATTCACATTTTTTACTCGTGTCACTTTTCTCATGCAATATGTACTTGTCTAGTTACAGTTTTTCTTTCGGTAAAAATGTAACTAGTTACAGATACCCGATCAGTAAAAGGGCCTGAGCAGAATGGCTGTCTCGTACTCTTAAGACAATATTTCACGTTGTAAATCTTTGCCTTAAAGTAATGCACAATAACTGTTTTGTGACTTAAGAAGACACAAGACAGCCATTCCGCTCAGGTCCTTACGAATCGTTACTTTGCAGTTACTTTCTTGAAATGAAAATATCAAATCTGTATTTAAATTGTAAAGCACCGACAAAGGGGTTTGTGCAGGACCTAATGCGACCTGCGGAGGTTTAAAAAATATGTGAAGTAACTATTGATTCAACTATTAAATTAGTTGTTGAAAAAACGACTGAATAATGTTACAGTTACAGATGGGGTGAAAGTAACGAGTTACTTCCCCACCCTGATTATATTGTACGCATATATTATTTATATTTCTTTATATCGGCCTTTCTCAAATCGATGGTCGTGGTTATATATCAGAGGGCTTGCGCGACGAAAGCAACGTAAGATGTACAAAGGAAATTGTAAGAATATTCTAGGTAGCGCGGGAACCACGCGACACACGGGACATAAACACGAGACGAAAGTCACCGTCTATTGTCCGTAGCAAACGACAAACAATAATATGTATAACCGATTAGAGGTGACAGCGGGTGGCGAAGCCTGCTAACGAGCAACCGTTCAAGACGTGGGATTCGGAGCGAGTAGAACCTAGAGCATATACGAAGAGTTATCAGTGGGAACTTAGAGTATTTTGAGAGTTTTTGGTACGCGCCGACCGCGAGATACGTACGTCTCCCCGAACAGTCTCGGTTGAATATATCGTAAGACGATATAGAGAGGAGTGTTGGTTATTGTGATATTGTAAATTAGTAATTGCATAATTGAGTGGAATTAAAGACTAGTAGTTGAACTTAAGTGACATCAGATTCTTAAATCCTGAAGCTACGATCCAAGTGCTCATTCGCTTCAAACTATCCCTGGACAGGGTCACAAGAAATTAAATATCTAACAAAATAAAACACTTTTTTTGACGGAACAAGATAGCCCTACCTGGTTGGACTTTTGCAGAGAAGGGGGTAGCAAAGTAATTTATTAATTTTACTGTGTTTTACGCTTTGGAGGGTCATGGAGCTAAAAACTTTGAGAAACACTACTTTGAATTACTAAATTTCCCATTCATACGATAATAATTGTTAGCATCACTGCAATTATACGACAAATAATTCATCATTTTATACGACATGGTAATGCCATCAATATAGAATTCCATTTTAATTGCTTCAACCTGGATTGGCAGTCTCTTAAAATAATACAAAAGCAAGGAAACCATAGCAAGCTCGTGACAAGCTTGAATCAAGATCAATTTACATCAACATTCAGGCCTCGCTCGAAATTGAAGAGTAACATCGTTTGATGTCGTTTTGCTTAAAATTTCATTTAATGCCAGTTTTAACGCCCAATCACTCCTTTCTCTGCCTCTCGCATGAAAATCGAATAAACGTATTTACACGCTAAATAACCTAACGGCATCCCCGTAGAGGGGAAATCCCCTCCGAAAAAAATGAATAAACACCATTTCTCGTACGACAGACAGAAGATCTAACATAAATATTTACGGTGGCGCCGTATAAACGGCCGGATAAGATCGGAACAGGATTATCTAAATGACGACCCAGTGAGAAATGATTCGTCGATCGACGTCGAAATGATGTCGAATCGACGTGAATTCGACGTGAATTCGACGGTGTCGATGTCGATTCGACGTCGTTTCGACGTCAATCGACGAATCATTTCTCACTAGGGAAGAAACAAAGCGGCGACCAAGGATGATCGCAAATGCGGGAGGCTGCTCCGCGAGAAAGATCGCCGAGTTATCGAGCCACGTGAGACGGGATTCCTCGAGGGGAGTCTCCCGCACTTACCGGGATGCGGGCTCGTTGGCGTCGGAACGTTCTGCAGACCGCGGTTCTGGTCGGAGGTCCACGTTCTGACCGCTCTGCGGTTCCTGCTGCAATTGTATGCGCGTACTGCTGCCTGAAATCCGGCATCTCGGCGAGAAGAACGCAGCGGGAGAGGACACGACGCGAGCGAAGTGCACGCCAACCTACAGGCTACAGCAAGTACAGCAACACGTTCGAGTAACGGCAGCGCAACTGCGTCTGCGCCTCTGCGGTCTGCCACCAGGCATGGTGGAAATACATAAGGTGTGCTCTTGCGCATCGTTTTGAACAGCCAATGAGAAGTTGCTCCCAACGGTGTCCATATTGTGGCGGTTAAATCAAATCGAGCGTTCTATAAGCAGTTATAAAGTCATATATCTAGTGCATTTATTGTGTGGAAATATAAAGAGCAAAGAGTAATATGTATTTTATACGTTTTCGTGCAACGATTATTTTTTAATTTCAGTTTCCATATATATTTATTGACAAAGTATATTTTTTAAATGTAGGAGTCTGGTGTCCATTCTATGGGTTGCTATAGCAACCCATAAATATAGACAATGGGTGCTTTCCAATTGCAATATCCCTAGACACTTTCGTGCACACGGCGACACAAATGGCGTTCCAATTGTCACAAATGTCGACACACCTCTACACATTCGTACTCAGCCTGAGGGCTACTAGTCGGCTGTGTAAACTTGTGTTTTCTAGTGAAAAATAGTTACTAATTGTAAGTACGGCGGCTACAAGTGGTCGGCATATTCTTTCGCTACGACGGTTTACTATATAAAAGGGAAAAAAAGAAGTGAGGTTACGTCTGATATCATTCTGGCGCATAAGTAATACCGAAGTGGGAGGAGGAAAATACGTAAGTACGGCACAAATTTTTTTTCTTTTTACTCAACAATGAACAACGGCAATATTCAGAGTATCATTGAGGTAATAAATATTTTGAATCAACATTAGGTGACGCAGTTTCGATTACCACCATGGATTAAAAATACCAAGCATGGATACTATACTACTTTGTGTACTCTTTGTGGTATATTTTGTTCCAATTGAGTCGTGCACATCGCGACACTTTGTGTCTTCTTGTGTACGTTTGTGTTAAAAAGTGTAAAATAATTGGAAAGCACCCAATATAGACACCGTTGCAGATTCCCAGGTATCGATATATCGACTTAAAATGGAGACGCTTGGGAGCTGCGCAGAACCGGACGAAAATTGGTATCGGTAACGAGCACACCTTATGTATTTCCACCATGCCACCAGGCAGCCAGGTGAGCCAGGCTGCCAGGCACCAATGGCACCATGCCCGGGGGGCACTGAACGTCGGATTGGCGGGCGCGCGATCGGTTGCCATTGGCCGCGCATGGCGGGGAAAGCTCCGATTGGAACCGTACTATTAGGTTGGGCCTACATTGGGTGCGTTCCGAATTAGCTATATTTCTGGTTACAAAGTTGGTACATGCACCGGCATAAATGCTGTCCCTATCCTTGTGAGGCGCACGCACACAATTAACAAGCGAACGACCAATCCGAAAGTCGTGCCGTGGTCCGACGATCGGATTAGTCACCCGTTTGTGTGCGTGCGTCTCACACGGATAGGGACGGCATTTATGCCGATGCGTGTACCACTGTCACAGTATAACCACAGTATAACCCACGGTCTTAAGCCTATCACACAATGCCAGGCAACAGGCAACAGGAACAGGGAATAGAATTTCTGACGCGTTGGATTGGTTGGTAGAAAATTTCTGACGAATCCAACACGTCAAAAATTCTATTCTCTATTCCTATTGCCTGTTGCCTGGCATTGTGTGATAGGCTTTACATACAGGTCTTGCAACTCATAAGGTGCCTTTTCATGCGTCGCTCGTCGCTGGATTTCTCGGTACATGATTGGCCGTCATTACTTTTGTCGCTGGCATGAAGAATAGAGATAAGGAGATCGAACTGTATGTTCGGGCAGAGAGAAGCCTGAGAGATGTCACGGCCCCGTTTTTCGTGATTGGCGAATGCGATACGCCCTCTGTGGACATTGAACTACGTAGCCAATATCCACATTTTGCCAAGTGGGTAACGCAGATTTGCGAAATTTTGGTTGCGTTTCGTGCTATAGTCAGGTCCTGTGCGATGCT